TATGCTTATAGCCTTATAGCCTACAGTGCTCAAGCGCGTGCATAAAACTTGAACTGGCAAAAGGAATGATTGTAAATTTGTTGATGCAAAAGCTTATTTAGGCCAGAAGGCCTACTAAATGCAACATGAAATTTGAAATAGATGTTTTTTGTTTTTTTTCTGCAAGTTGTATGTAAACTTATGACTTAAAATGACTTGAATTAAATGCCTTAAAAACTTAAAATTGGCAGAGTGTGTGTTGCGAAAAAAGTGTTTATTTAAATGAAGTGTCAGGTGTCTTTAAAGCTTTGAAAAATAGCTTATAAAAAACCACAAATACGTAAATGCTTTTTAGAAGTTGCAATCAAAAATGAGATAAGTGATGTATTGAAGTGTTGCTATAACAATAGTGGAGCATGGGGCACAAAGAAATTTGGATGAGAAACACAAAAAAAATAAAACATTTTTGCAGCATAAAAGTATTTTTTATTATAGAAATTTTTTTTTTATTAAAAAAAAACCCTGAAAGTATTCACGTGAAATCTTATATTGTTGTGAAATCTTATATATTCACAGTTTCAGAGAAGCCTATATTAAACTGTTACTATTAATGACACATTTGAATAAGCAGCACAGGCTTTCATTAGAACAAATTCTGTTGGAAAGATGAGAGCAGTGGCGCCTGGAGCCGTACAGCTGTACTGTGCGTACCAAACCACGAGAGGGTGCGAATTAATGTCGCTTATTTATTTATTTATTTATTTATTGATTGATTTATTAAATAATGTAAATTGATTATTAAACAATATACACTACGATATATTAACAAAAGCAAGAAAGAATGAGAATAAATAAAGGTGTGTGTTTGTGTGTTTTAAAGTGTGCATGTACTTGCATGGTGGGAGATGTAAAAAAAATAAAAATAAATAAAAATACTTACTTGATTAAACTAATTAAATTGTAATTGCCCGGCGCAGCGGATGATTTTGTCACTGACAGTGACAAACAGTTTAATATAGGCTTCTCTGAAACGGAGTATTTCATTTAATTTTATTTAGGCTAGATTGTATTTTATTTAGCAAACCAGTTTGTGTTAGGGCGCTGAAGCATAGCGGACTGGTTTTGAAGCACTTCACCCTAGATGTTATTCTTGTTTATTTTGTAGATAACTGACCAAAAAAGTATATATTAAAATTAGTCTAATTATTAATTTTATATAATATTATTATATTAATTATAAATTATTGATTATTAATAAAATACAATGATGTGCTTTCATTTTCTCAGTCTCACTCACGACAATGAATAAATGTAGCCTTTGACAGCAAGCATCAGTGGTTCTTGAGATTGTAATATGAATAAGGCAGTCAGCAGGTAATTTGAGCACAGCTCCCCAGGTGAGAGCATCGCACATCGGACAGTTCATCAAGGATATTCCGCAGGATCTCATCTCATTATACAGTAGTTGTTAATTCATCTTGTCTATGTCTAATGACTCTTTGGTCATTTGAATCTATCATTTGATCTCAGGTAACGTATTTTGGCTGAGTGCAAAGATAAGTTACCACATACACTGATTTTGCACATTTAGCCTTTACTATATTGTATTAATCTTTTTTTATGTTAATTGTAAAATGACTATTATTGATTATTAAAACTGATATTCAGCGAAAGAGACAGGGTATGTTTTATATTTTTCAATGAAAATACAAGGATGCAGTTTTGTTATAGGCTCCGTTTTGTTATAAATATGCATACAGTGAAGATGATTATTAAATAAATATGTAGCTACACAATGCCTTAACATTGTTGGTGTCTGTTAATTTGTTAATATCACAATGAAAAAAAAAATTCTGTATCATTTTATTGCTAAGATACTGAAACTACGTAGCCAGGTTGATGTGAATGATGTTATAAAGCAGCGTACACTTTTCCATTTGAAGATTAACCCAAGTTGTCCTCGGGAGTTTGTTACCATAAAAAACAAAAAACAAAAAAACAGACAATCCACAAACTTGCGAAGTCTGAACATAATGGGAGGGAATTCAAGACTGAACTTTTTGTACTTAATATTGAGAAAAAAACCCAAACAGATGAGTTCACCCCGCTCACAGACTGTTTTCTGTCCTGCCCTCCGGCAGGCGCTTCAGGCTCCCCCAGACAAAAACCAGCAGACTGAGGAACAGCTTTTTCCCCAGAGCTGTCTCCCTCCTGATCTCTGCCCCACTGACTCTTTTGCCCCCCACTGACTCTTTTCCCCCCAATACACCCCCCACTCTCCTCTAACTTAAACTCCTCGCAATAACTACACTGTTTAACATTTGCACATTTAAAAATTTGCACATTCACTGCACCACATTGAACTGTTTACTTATTGAACTGTACATAACCACTGCATATGGACATTTGTAATTATGTACACACCCACTATAAAAATACATTTGTAATCATGCTTATTTATCTGCATACTACTGATTATTAATAGCAACCTGTACATATATTTATATATTGTTACATATACACTTGTAATCATGTTCATCTATCCCTGTACATATATTCATATATTGTAACATATACACTTGTAATCATGTTTATCTATCTGCACACTACTGATTATTAATAGCAACCTGCTAATATATTCATAATTGTAAATCTGCTCATAGCTTTTCCAACCTGTATATAATGTTCATAGTACATCCATCTTTAAATATCACCATAGTTTTTCTATAACTGCACTTTATAACTTATTCCTGTATCCTGCACTTGCTGCTATTGCACTGCTGGTTAGACCTAAACTGCATTTTGTTGCATTGTACTTGTACATGTGTAATGACAATAAAGTTGAATCTAATCTAATCTAATCTAAATCACACCTCGGGTTTCCCCATCCATACTGATTCAGCAGCAATTTTAAACGAAAACGACATGCTCAGCGTTTTCAAAATGCTTCATTTTCTGGGCTTAAAAACTCCCTGGTAATAAGGTTGTGAGGTGTAACTGTTGCAAAAGTAATGCTTTTAAAACTAAAATGTATTAGTGTAAACAGGGCCTTGGGGAACACCCTTTTTATTACTTCTGCTTTATATGTAGCTATTGTTTTAATTGATATTACTTTAGCTAAAATAATGTTTTGTTTAATACTTAATAAATCAATTGAGTATAGTTTGTACTAGGGCTGACACAGTATTTGATTTTTCACACCACAGTTGTGGCTTGAAGAATTTACAATATCTATACATGGTAATGTCTATAGAAAGCATGGAAGAAAAAAAACATGTTTTTTGTTTCACTTCATTTAGATTTTGTTTAGGTTTGATCTTTTTACTGTAAACCATAAAAATAATTATTTGAGCAAAATGTTTATTTGCTTTATCACAGACTGAATCTGCAGTGATTTCATATTAGAAGCAACAACTGCACTTGATCATGTTCCACACAAAGCAGCAGCGTGCATGCATGCTTGAGTATTAGAGATTTCATTTAAATTGTATAATTTTAAAAATATGTAGTGAAAAGAAATTAGTCTGACTTTGTGGAATAATGCTACATAAGACATTCTGGCACAAACCTAAAAAGGTAGAAATGCTGGATTAAAAACGCAAGTTTAGGCATGGGAACCCCTATAGAAATGTAGAAGTTACAGTGTTACCTTAGTCACAACTGTAAACTAAGTGACAGCTGTGGTCGTATTTTATATTAATCAATTTCTAAGAAATTACCACCTAAGCTTTTAGTATGACAGTATTTCACTCATAAATGCCTAAATAAATCCCCATGTAACAATATTTAGGATTTTTCTTAAATTCTTAAATTTCCTTTCCTTTAGTGTTACACAATTGTACATGTTTCTTATAACTTGCTAAACATTTTTATAAAAGAAAAAAAAAAACACAAAATTTTAAATAGATTGCTGTGTAACTGTATGCTTGTTTTTGTTAGGTAGTTAGGGGACATATGTTGGAGACTAATTATGATGTTTTGTAACAAAAACTGTTTATATTGGGTTAATAGGTACTAAATAGTGTGTTAATTTGAAATTCTTATCAAGATTTTTTATAAGATACCATGACATTTTTATTCTTTGTCTCTCTTAATTTCTTCTGCTCTCTCTTTTTGCAGGATTAACAACTGTGTTGGGGAGGATAACCACTGGCTATTTTTGCAGCTGTGTTTTTACACTCAGGTTCTGAGTTTTTACACTCTAGTGCTAGACTTCTGTCAGTACTACTACTTTCTGCCCTTGTCCTCAGTTGACCAAGTAAGACCATTTTGCATTTAAACAGGTATACATTTTTAAGTGCTTTGAATAAATGTATATTTTAAAAGTTTAAATTACAATTACAATTACTGTTTTAGTGCAACTGGACAACATTTAACAAGCAATAACATAAGTCTTTTGCAATCAAACCTAAACCTATGTCACTTGTTTGCTTTATTAAGGCTAATAACACGTACAAGTCATTTTAACCATTAGGGTAAATATTCCCTTTTTCCTTATAGGTCCGTTTTAAGGAATATTCTGTAGTCTTCGAAATAACATACCTTGGAATGTTGTAATTGATGAATTAATTCTTTATCTTTATTTCTATAGTGCATTTTACAATGTAGATTGTGTCAAAACAGCTTATCATAGATGAGGAAAGGTGAATAAAATGCCTTAAAATACTTCAGTAACAATTTATAATAACTGCACACTGTAAAGCATGACTGTAAAACATGAATGTGGTTATGAATATATTAAAACGTGCTTGTTTAATGTAAAAATACATAATAATGACAAAAAAAAATCGTAATTTGTGGATCTTCTTACTTCTGGGTGCAGCGATCCTGCTGTTGTGGCTGGTGTATTCTGAGAAAATGTTCTTACCCCTTGGTTACGAGTGTGGTCTTGAAAAATCTCTTTTCGAAGGGCTATCTACCCCTTCCCCTTAGCCCTACGTCTTCAAGCTAAAGATAATTGGGACAATAAGGGGGAAAGTAAGGGGAAGGGCTAAGGGGTAAAATTGGGATTGGGCCCAAGTCAGCCACTTGTGGCAGGAGTAGACCGATGGCCACAATTTGGTCCAGAAATGCCACTTTATGCTGTATCTAGTAGATATGTGTAATGTTGACAATATCTGCCATCTTGATGCTCCCAAATCTGAGTCAGGAACTTTCACACAGAAGAACTTGTGTCCCCGATAGTAAAGGGACAGTCAAGTGTGATAATCTTAGAAAATTAACATAGGGTCCTGGGGGTCTATACACAGTGAATAATGAAAGAGATGACATTGTTTTTTTTTTGTTTTTTTTAATAGCTTAACATTAACTGCCGAATTCTATTTCCCCTTTAAAATGTACCCCTAAGAAATGGCACACCACTACACTAAAGCATGTGCACACGTCATCATATGTCATCCTGATCTCTTGCTTCATATAAGATCGACGATCACGACTGCTGTAGTTATTCCAGTTACATTATTATTATTTTTTTTTGATGTTTATCTTCAGGAAATCACTGAAGGCATATATTATGTTATCATAACAATGTAATGTGGCAATAAAATTCTAACTCTACTGTGCATTTACATAGTGGCCATATTCATCTGTGTAAACACACAAAAACAACATTAACATTAATCCAGACACTGTAAAAAGGTAATTTCCAGCCACTAGACTTTTCTGACAGAATATTTGAGTGTCATCAATATGGAACAAAATCAATGCCTAAAGTCTTGAATTAAAAAGCTTGTTGAATATCACAAACTGAAAAAAAATAATACACCGTATTAACAAGTTCTTGCATTTTAATGACGTGAATTCCAGGGTTTGTATTTTTAGGTCCTGAAATTTAACATATCTGTTTATTTAAGCTGTGAATATTTCAACGAAAAATATTTCAAACACGTTTTCATACTTAAAAATTCAATAATTCATATTCAATTTTCAGATTTCACTTACAAAATATTCAATACCCTTTAAAAATACGATGTATAATATTCAAAAGGTCATTTTCAGTTCATTTTATTTCAGTTCAAATATTCGCTTCCATAAATTCAGTGGATCAAATTCGACTGATAAAATTCAACATTACATCCGGGAACTGCAGGAGAAGCAATAGATTGCCGATTGAAGATCGCCAGCTGCTCTAGCTTTCACCAGCAGGTGGAGATGGAATAATGTAAGATTTTTAACCCAGTAAACAGGCGAGAAAAAGGCTAATAAAGGCACAAAAGTAGCATTCAATTTTAATATCAATGCCTTGGACATTATAAATAATAAAAAGTATGAGTAAAATGAGTAAATGAGGGTTTAGTCATTTATATTTGCCCTTATGTAACGGAAGCCAGCTGGTGATCGCGTAAAGCTCACTCCTCGGATCCAGCGACAGACGTTGTTCTGCAATCTTATCGGAGCTTGTCTCCCATGCTGGCTCGTTACCTGCTCGGACCGGTGCGGTTACTTGCACATAAACCGTCTTTTGATGAATATGATGTTACACATTGTCTATCTTTATTGACTCTTTCTTCCATAGACGCGAAGTATTATATTGACAGCTAAAGAATATAAACGTAAGAGAAACAGGAGAGGAAATATTATAATAATAATACAAAATAGATAAACATTGACAGGGCTAAGAACAATTACGAACAAAGATTATCAAAACCAGAGAGATTTTATGAGAATGTCACAAAACAGTTTACTTGGAAATGTTAAACAGAGAGTTCAGGTATTATTTAAGGTTGGTTATGGATGGGGCGTCTGATTTAAAATAATTTAACATGTGAATGCATTAAAGGGGCGTCTTCAGTTATTCACACAGAACCGTCTAATATGGCATAACTATAAGGAGTAATGTTTGCGCTGTTTAAACGCAGCTATGTCAGGATTGGCATAGGTTATAATTTAATTATTTAAATTATGATTGTTATTATTATTTTATGACATGTATTTGGGCTATTGCGCTTAAATAAGTCATCTGTGATTCTAAATTAATATTTCTATTTATCCTTTTTAGCTATCACTTTGCTATCGTCTTTCTCTTCTTTTTTTCTAGTTTTTGTGGTTCTGCCACGGTTAAACGTTTGCAAAATGTCTTTGGTTTGTCCAGATTATTGCTTTTCCTCTAAATTAGAGACGAAGCAGAAGGAAAATGAATGAATTGATGAATGAATGAAATGATTGACATTTTTATGCATGTGCTGTGCGGCTTGCTCACGACAAAGTCGAACGAGTGGCCGCGAGCTCCGGTGGCCAGTCAGAGCCAGCGCCCCACAGCAAACTGATTAAGAGATGCTGGATGGCTGCCATATGATAGGAATTCTTCCAAAGTTTCAGATGACATCTGGGCGTGTGCATAATAATGTAAAATGAAAGTGAAAGTCATGACATTTGGCCAAGCATAAGAATAGCCTACAAGAGTGTTTCGATTATTATATTAATCATGACATATGTCATGCTTGGGCTTATATGAATAACACCTCGCTGTTTACCATTTCCGAAAGTGGAGCTGACGTCGGCGCGAAATTGCTTGTATAATTGTAAAAAGAGTGATGAATATTAATGGATTTCTTATATCTGTCATTTCTGATAATATAATTGATTTAGTGTGAGCTTATGAGTTTTTCAACACAGCAAAAATGCATCAAGAATCCTAAACTAATAACTTTATCAAGCAAAAATTATGATTTTATAAGCTACTGATTTTTTTTAAAAAACAAGAAAAAAGAAATATATTAGCTACCCTAGCAATTGTTTATTTAAATATGATCATCTCAAAATATAAAATAAAAACATAATGGTTTGACTTTGTGAAATCATAAAACACACTTGCAGAAAAGAGTTATAAATGAGCAAATACATTCTCTCCAGTAGATGGAGATTAAAGCTCAGTAATACCCCATGAGGATGAATTGAGCTGCTTTGCAGGATCCCCTCAATCACGCATGTCAAACCACGCATTATAAACATTAATCTTATGAAACTAGCTCAAGTGACAACTATATTAAGTTTAAACCAGTTTAAATAAGTTTATATGTTTAATAACTGCAAAAAAGATCAACATTGCTAATCATAAAATACAAACGGTCGCTGCAAAGTTATAAATAACGGTTTTCTCGTTTAATAAAAACAAAGTCAGTTATAACTGCCTATTATCAAACCACAGGCGACTCATTTTATTAGTTATCATTGGCTGCGACATTGCCACTTTTGCGTTATTACCTTTTTCTCGCCTATAGGCTACATAACAATAAAACAATAATCTGGACAAACTAAGACATTTTGCAAACGTTTAACCATGGCAGAACCCCAAAAATTAGAAAAAATGTCATACAATAATAATATTAACAATCATAATAATAATTTAAATGATGAAAATGTATAACCTATCCCAATCCTGACATAGCTGCGTTTAAACAGCGCAAACATTACTCCTTATAGTTATGCCATATTAGACGGTTCTGTGTGAATAACTGAAGACGCCCCTTTAATGCATTCGCATGTTAAATTATTTTAAATCAGACGCCCCATCCATAACCAACCTTAAATCATACCTGAACTCTGTTTAACATTTCCAAGTAAACTGTTTTGTGACATTCTCATAAAATCTCTCTGGTTTTGAAAATCTTTGTTCGTAATTGTTCTTAGCCCTGTCAATGTTTATCTATTTTGTATTATTATTATAATATTTCCTCTCCTGTTTCTCTTACGTTTATATTCTTTAGCTGTCAATATAATACTTCGCGTCTATGGAAGAAAGAGTCAATAAAGATAGACAATGTGTAACATCATATTCATCAAAAGACGGTTTATGTGCAAGTAACCGCACCGGTCCGAGCAGGTAACGAGCCAGCATGGGAGACAAGCTCCGATAAGACTGCAGAACAACGTCTGTCGCTGGATCCGAGGAGTGAGCTTTACGCGATCACCAGCTGGCTTCCGTTACATAAGAGCAAATATAAATGACTAAACCCTCATTTACTCATTTTACTCATACTTTTTATTATTTATAATGTCCAAGGTAATGATATTAAAATTGAATGCTACTTTTGTGCCTTTATTAGCCTTTTTCTCGCCTGTTTACTGGGTTAAAAATCTTACATTATTCCATCTCCACCTGCTGGTGAAAGCTAGAGCAGCTGGCGATCTTCAATCGGCAATCTATTGCTTCTCCTGCAGTTCCCGGATGTAATGTTGAATTTTATCAGTCAAATTTGATCCACTGAATTTATGGAAGCGAATATTTGAACTGAAATAAAATGAACTGAAAATGACCTTTTGAATATTATACATCGTATTTTTAAAGGGTATTGAATATTTTGTAAGTGAAATCTGAAAATTGAATATGAATTATTGAATTTTTAAGTATGAAAACGTGTTTGAAATATTTTTCGTTGAAATATTCACAGCTTAAATAAACAGATATGTTAAATTTCAGGACCTAAAAATACAAACCCTGGAATTCACGTCATTAAAATGCAAGAACTTGTTAATACGGTGTATTATTTTTTTTCAGTTTGTGATATTCAACAAGCTTTTTAATTCAAGACTTTAGGCATTGATTTTGTTCCATACATCAAGAGTCACAATGGTGTGGGACTGCTATGCAGGAGTTATTAGGTGATTGTAGATAGCAAGATTTTGCAGTTTTTATTTTAGCTTTTTTTTTTTTTTTTTTTTTTGAAAAGCATAATGGTAAACATGAATGCAGTTCAACACAATTTTCCACACTCATGTAGAAAAAAGTGCACTTTAATATACTAGCAGAAAGTGTATCTGCTAGTAAAACATATGATAGAGTAATTGGGAGTTAATTTTGTTGTAGCAACTCCTGATAAAGTAGGGACTAAGCTGGGAATTAGGGGAATATGATGTAGTATCACTTCACTCAAAGCATGCTATGCAATCAATTTCTATTTTATTACTGCTTTCAAATAGAGTGATTTTATAATTTTGAGATCACAGTGATCATCTCATGTAGGGGATATATTGGCAGGTTAAGTTTTGTTCTATGTCTGAAGACATTAGGCTTACAGTGGTGTATTTTATTTCAGACCCTTTCAGTTCATAGGATTATAAATCTAAGTATTTAATAGACTAGCTGAGCCACAATGGCAGTGTAATTTGCTTGCAATAAAAAACCCATAATGCTACGTTTCCTCTTTTTCCTTATTTTGTGTAGCATTGTTTGTGGCTTAACATTTACTGCTTAGAAGCAAAAGATATATGCATACATAAAAGACTCTGTGGGAGAAAAAAGTTTATTTATCTCATAGGAATAAGCTGTACTTTCCGATAAGTCTTCTAATGATGTTTCACAATTAATTTTCATGTTCACATACTTTAAAGCCATAAGACAACAAACCATTATGAACGACCATAAGAATAATAGAAAAGGAATATTCAGAGATGAAATACAAAACAAACAATCAAGAAATAAATAATAATTTTGTAACAAATTACATGCATAATTAAGTAAATTTGTTACCTTAATCTGTATGTGTGTGAATTAGAGTGTATGGATGTTAGCCAGTGATGGGTTGCAGCTGGAAGGGCATCTGCTGCATAAAACATATACTGAATAAGTTGGCAGTTCATTCCACTGTGGCAATCCCAGATTAATAAAGGGACTAAGCCGAAAAGAGAATGAATGAATGTTACCTTATTCTACCTTGAACCAGGAGCTACAACTCATTGGCTGGGGAATTTGTGAATTAACCGTGCACCTATGCATTAATTGGCATGTCTTGCTTAACATTCTTTGTATCATGCTTCCTAGCGTTGAATACCATTGCTTCATATATCTGCTACATTTGGTAAATTGCTGTCGTAATTAACCATAACTCAACCATAGCCATAATTTTGTTTAACGGAATCAACTCATGAACATATAAAATACAAATTATATATGCTTTGAAACAAATTGTTGTAAATTAAATCACAAATGACAAACATTGATATAACATGTCCCTTCAGGTTTTATTACACACAGAATATTGTGGATTTGTGTGTGATTATATGTGAATTGGTGTTAATAATCAAGAAAACACTCCCCAATCAAAAATACTCCCCTTCATTTATGTGTAGCATTTTAGTTTGACGTGGGTATTGGCTGATTTATACATGAGCATTTACTGCATGTGTAACTTGTTTGTTTCACTCAGGCTGACTTTGCAGTACATCATGAATTGGCTCTTCTACGTGTGTCTTGTTTCATGGGGTTGATCATGTTTGGTGGAATAAGCAGCCTTTTCTACACACAAGTCAAAGGAATCCTTACAGTGAGTAAATCAATGAGTTTGTTATCTCTGAAGTGACATAAGATTACTTGTGGCTGTGAAGTGGGACTGTGGTGACATCATTTCTTGGATATTTCTCTGGTCTACTTGGACCACTTAATTTACAAATTCCATTTACTGCTGGAAATTCTAAAAAGAAAAAAAAAAATATTTAGTTCATTTTCAAGAATGATTGACATCCAAAATCTCACCAGCAGCAATGAGATAGTTGTAGTATTAGACCCTGGGGTCTAAGGGGGGTTTAGGGCACTGGAAAAGTGTTGGCATGCCCTGACATTTGTGTTTTGTTTTGTTATATATTAACTCTCTGTGGTCAACAAATCCGGATACATGTATCAGTCATAATACACTCTTTTTTTATAGTGTTGATTAGACAAACAGAGATTTGAAAACTTTAAGGGCCTATTTTTATTTGTATATATTCATAATTAAAACAAAACTATTTGTGTTAGCAAAACAGACAGGGGGTGCCTCTATTTCTGACTCTTCTGTCTAGCAAAAAAAAAATTTACTAGCAAAAACTTAAAAAAAAAAAACAACTGAAAAATATGAATAAAACATCATTTTAAATAAAACATCATAAAATATTATGGGCTCTTTTGACAGTCCATGCGCAGAGCACAAAACGCAGGACGCAAACGCTTTTCAGGGCATGTCAGAACGCATTTTTGATGGGATGATGGGATGATTAATGATGGGATAATCATCGCTTTGCGCCGTGGCGCATGGTCTAAAAGGGTTGCGTTTATTTTTTTTAATGAGTTATAGGTGTGTTTTGAGAATAAACCAATCAGAGTCTCATCTACCATTACCTTTAAGAGCCAGCTGTGTCGCGCCATAAGCGCATTTTGATGTAAAGTAAGTTCACTTCCGTTTTTGCTCTCGTGGATAGGGAAACCTTACCACACAGACATCCATTAGCCTATAAATAATTAATTTTGTTTAAGCGCAAAGATTTGTATCAAAACTATTTCTAAATTCAGTTCTTATCTCTAGCAAACGAATAAATGAACTATAATAAAAAAGTGTGGTCAAAATACTGAGTTATTTCCAAATACACCTGCCATGCCCCATATGGTCTAAAACCTGACAGGTGGACAAATCTAAGCTTGTTTTTAATAAAACAAATATAAATATGGATATAATAAATAATACTGCTAATAATAATAACATTATACAAAAGCAAATTGAATAAACTGGAAAAGCCTCCCAAGATGAAGAAAGTAAGGCAGTGGTTTTTAAATTCATGAAGGCTAGAAATTAATGTTTTGTAATATTTTAATCATTTATATTTATATCCTATATATATATATCCTTATTATATATTTATATCCTTAATATATTATATCTTTTTCATATGTAAAGATATTTGTGTATTACTCTACATCTTGTGTGTAGTGTGTAAGCCAGGCGCACTTTGCGCCAGACAATAGACTGACTTTGTTCTGGTCTAAAGAACAGACTATTTACAGTTTCTCAAAATAGCAACGCTCCAAAACACACCTGCTTTTTTAGACCAGAACGCCTATGGGCGCACATTTGAGCCCAAATGCATTTGCTATTTAAACAGTGTGGCGCAACACCTCAAAATGACCCTTGCGCCGAGCTGAAAGTAGCGCAAGACTATTGCCTTGCGCCACATTGCGCCAGGTGTATGATAGGGCCCTATGTTGATTTAAAGTAAATGTTTTTCATGTTCAAAATTATATTTCTTGTAATCTAAGCTTTTGTCATTAGGCCACTTCAGCGTCTCAGAGTCATTCAAAAATTATTATTACATGTTGGCAATCACACACTGATTTTCACCGAGGCAAAACAAACACACACGCAGGGGAGAAAAACTGAGAGACTGACCGTACGTTCACACCGAAAGCGGCGACAGCGTCAAAGTAGCCGGAAGTCATTCATTTTCAATGAGAGCCGGCGGCAATAAGCGGCGAGGAGCAGCGCGGCGCGTCTTCGCCGGCGTGAGCGTCGAGGAGAGTTGAAATGAAGTCAACTTTATGGTAATGAGCTATGACGCGGTTCAGCGGCAAGCAATCAGAATGAAGACGTCCATCGCTTGATAGCAGTTCAGAGAACACAGACCTGTGAACTTTGGTTCCGACCACAGTTGTTCCCAAGGGTTTGATTATTGCGGTCGCCGCATTTCCAATTATTTCTATTTTTTTCCTACAGGAACATGCATTAAATAAGTTACTGGAGACTTACTGATGTTCATTAATGTTATAGAAATTTATCTTAAAAAAGCGGGAATCTCACGCGATGTGACAGTACAAAACAGTACTGCTGCTTCAGGATATTTCAGACATATGGACACATATTGGATAAATAGAGCAAAGCCACACCACACGCAACTTGATCTTCCATTGTTGTATGAATTTGATAAGAAGTGTGCAACATTTTCACGCTAGAAACATGTTTTATGCAGGAATGTAACTGATATGCTGCAACGGCTCATTTAAATACGAGATCAATGTAGCGAGTTTTGACGCTCTCGCCGCAGGAGCTGAAGGCAGAGAGCGTTGTCGCCAGGGCGGCCAGAGCGACCTTGGACGCTCTCGCCGCTTTCGGTGTGAACGTACGGTGACTGTGATAATATGACAGTGGAATGTTTGATATTGCACGATGTATAAGAGAAAAAAACCCTCTGCATTTCAAGGTAACTCAGATGCACTCAGTAGGTCAGAAAGCCGTGTGTTTATAGACTATACTGTCACAAAATGCAGCGGAAATTAAACACGATGGTCGGTAATAGTTTGCTTGCAAACTATTGCAGTGTTCACGTTTACACTCGTAGAGCAGCATTTACAGCAGATCTTTCAGTCCATAACATTGTAGTGATATTAACGTAAACTAAGTAGCTTAGAAATCATATTGACTAAGGTCTGTCTTTAAACACTGAAACAGTACTGCTGACGATACAAACTATAACTTTGCCATCTAAATAAACAAAGAAAGGGCACTGATCGCACACACTTACCAAATCTGTAGAGAAAGGACAGTCAACACCACCTGGAGCTGTGTCTTTTTTTTAAAGAAGATGAGCAGCAATTCCGGATTTTAACGGATATCCGGATTTTTCTTGAGTAAAACATGTTCTATATAAACGTATTTCTGCCGCGTGTCGCGTGCACTGATCCACACGTGAGTCCAGTTGCGCTCTCATAGCTGAGACATAATTTGTTGTAGCAAATTTAAAAATGCAACACTGACGACCTGTATCTACAAACAATTCTTATTCTTTTTCCACTTCTTTTGGCAACACAACGTGTTTGTCAAGCTATTCTCTTATGCACAAGTTTTCCCGCTTGAAAGGAAGACACATCATCAGGGGAGTTTTAACTGGATTCCACTCATTCATTTATTGCATCATAAATGCAGCAGAAAGGCAGGTAAAAAGTATAAAGGTGGAAAGTTGAAAGTAGAAAGTTGAAAGGTGAAAAACCTTCAAAATAAACAAAAATACAAGATATGTAATTAAATTGCAAATAAACATACAAACATTTGTGAATTTTGTCTGATTTTTCACACAGTATTTTCCAATATTATACTGAATTAACACTTGTTTTAAAGCACTATCACCAGTACAGTTTAATATACTGAACTTAAATATTTAGTTTTAAAACATATAAATGAAATGCGATAAATTTTGCTACTGCAGCAATCAGCTTATGTACACGTGATCTGCTCATGCATGCATATGAATCACGGAGGAAAATTACATCTTAATGTCAGTCAGATAGCACTCAAATGATTATTGAAATAACCAAAACTATACATTTCTGCTTCATAACATCTTCTAGTTTGCAAATAACTATTTGTATCTTCAAGTAATTAAGCAGCGGGCAGATAAGCACTATAGGAGCAACTTTTTCCTCTGTGCCGAACTTGAACTCAGATGCTGCTTCACGGTTGATTTGCCCTCAAATACTGACATGACAGTCGCGATTTTCATGCAATGAACAAAGTAATGTTCTCACCGGTTGCCACTCCGGGACTTGATGATGGTTTTTTAACTGTTGTGCACTTTCTTTTGCTCAATTTTGGCGGACATTCGGCTTTGTCGGAGGTTTCGTTTTGGCGGAGATTCTGTTCTGGTTAGGTTTCAGTTTCCTTTTTTCCTTACGTGAATGCCAAACTACTGCATGTCCTTCCGCCTCTCCCTCCGACTGGCGGATGGATTTTTTTTCTCCTTCTATATTAGTTTGACTTGACAGTGTTGTCTCTCTCTGCCGTCTGAACACTGTTTCAGGTACAAACAGTCTTCGAAGATATCATGCATATTAATAAAGTTGTACCGCATGCACAATAGAGTGCGCTGATTGGTTTGAACCAAATCTTACTCATGAATGAATGCAGCACACTCAGAGATGTAATAAGGCACTCCCAGGTACAGACGTCCAGTCTACACACTGAAATACACGCTAAGATCTCATAGCCCTGACGCAGCTTTAAAAATTTGTTTCAAGCCGGAAGTACGAATTTGCTTGAAATAAAGCAAAAACAACCAGTTTTCACCTTTTAGTGAAATATATGTGTACTAATGTTGTTTTTAGCAGTGTGGGACAATATATGGCTGTCAACAGCTCAAAAATTGTGTTTTGGTATTTCGTGACCCTTTAAACACCCACTCGCAACCCCCCACGTTTCCAAAACTCACTGTTTCACCTAAAATTGGAAAAGTGTATATATATTTTTGTTGATTTATTTCTTTTGAACTTTTTATTGGTATTCATTCATTCATTCATTTTTTTTTCTGGCTTAGTCCCTTTATTATACCGGGGTCACCAGAGCAGAATGAACTGCCAACTTATCCAGCATATATTTTTACGCTGCTGATGCCCTTCCAGCCGTAACCCATCTCTGGGAAACATCCATACACACTCATTCACACTCATACACTATGGACAATTTAGCCTACCTAAGTCACCTATACCACATGTCTTTGGACTATGGGGGAAACCGAAGCACCCGGAGGAAACCCTCGCGAACAGAGGGAGAACATGCAAACCCCACACAGAAACGTCAACTGATCCAGCCGAGGCTCGAACCAGCACTAGCTGTGAGGCGACAGCACTACCTACTGTACCACTGCATTGCCTTTTTTGGTATATTTTTTGTTATTTATAACATGAAAATAACAATTTCTTTTAACAAAGACTGGAACACAGTTATGTATGGCATCAATTTGACACGACGAAAAACAAACATGGTTTGCTGGGCATGTATTGTCTAAAGGGACAGCAGCCACAAAATGGAACAGTGATGTGGGGCATTGGATTGTTAAGAAATGACAATCGCTTGACCCACTTGTTCCATACATCCCGTATTGGTGTGAGTTTATCACGCACTCATCTTCCCTGCCTTGCTTCTTTGTCATCAAAGTGTATGTTGAGAAATAAAACATGGAATGTCTTCAAACACATAGTGGCTGGAAATATTGACCTTCCAGTGTCAGCATTCCAAAGGTTTTATATTCAAGTCTTTTTGAAATGAGTCAAACACAAATGCTATTACAAAGTGCACAGTACAGACACACACACACACACACACACACACACACACACACACACACACACACACACACACACACACACACACACACACACACGTTATACTTGGTTGGACTGTTTTTGCTCTCATGCGGCTGTGGTAATTTCAGCAGTTACATTGCTATTTTACTGTCTATGTTACAAAAATGCACTGTAAAAACATATTAAACTTGTAAAACTCATTCTTGAGATGATCACAGAGAGTTGGAACAGATAACTAATAAGTTTGAACAAAAGGTCATGGGTTGTCACCCTCCATACTGTAAATTATGTTCTAAATACATTTCCAAAATAGGTTTTCATAATGTCCTGATTCTACCATTGGCCACTATAACAGTCACTAATACTGCCCTTTCACAAGTCAAAACAAAAAGGTTTTTTCACAGTATTATTACCTCCCTTTTGATTTTTTTTTTTTTTATATTTCCCAAATTATGTTTACAGAGCAAGGAAATTATCACAGTATGTCTGATAATATATTTTTTATTCTGGAGAAAGTCTCTCTTGTTTTATTATGACTAGAACTACAGAAGTTTTATTTTTATTTTTAAACACTATTTTAAGGACAAAATTATTAGCCCCTTTAACCTATGTATCTTTTATAGTCTACAGAACAAACTGTTATACAATACCTTGCCTAATTACCCTAACCTGCCTAGTTAACCTAATTAACCTAGTTAAGCATTTAAATGTCACTTTAAGCTGTATAGAAGTATCTTGAAAAATATCTAGTAAAATATTATTTACTGTCATCATGGCAAAGACTAAATAAATCAGTTATTGGAAATGAGTTATTAAAACTATTCTGCTTTAAAAATGTGTTGAAAAAATCTTTTCTCTGTTAAACAGAAATTGGGGAAAAAATAAATGGGGCTAATAATTCAGGGGGTTAATAACTCTGACTTCAACTGTATGTACATGATTTTACATTTATGGTATAAAACAAACTTTTTATTTATTATATTAATATAATATATTAATTTTTTTACAAAGTTTGACGTTCCCTATTTTTTTTCACTGTATGTTTTATTGTTTTTAATCACTGTATGGGAAAACTAATCCAATTCACCCCATCACTTTCACTGGGTTACTTTCATAAATCTTTTTTATGAATTGTAACTATCATCTTATATATATAAAAAATTGCATACTTGTGGTACCAATTCTCACTGGTACTATTTTTCATGTTTTCCACAACAGGACACAACTACCATAGAGAAGATGTCACACTTAACCGAAGAAGTGTAAGTATGGTTGTTTTTAGCATAATTTTTATTCATTTATTAATAATGCAATGCTGTCTACATAAATACATATAGATATGGAGACTGGGTGTAGTTGTCACTTTTCATCTGTAAGGTTTCATACCAAAGATCCAATTACACATCAGTGTGTTTTATTATCACTGCGTTTGACTTTGATATCAAATTTAAAAAAAGCATTCATCCAGCAGAGAAAGAGAAAGAAATTTTTTTTTTTTAAAAGTCAAGTCACCCTTGATTTCTGGTTTGTATTTATAGAAAACAGGGAAACAACAAAGTTGCTTTAATATATTGTGTATTTTATTAGAATGCACAGAGCAACAAGTCTCTAATAAGCAGTTGTTTAGCAGTTTCGTTTAGTAAGTTATGAAAACTTGTAACTTATTCTTAAACATGATTTCTGCTCAAGTCCTGTATGGCCTCAAGCATCCAAGTCAAATCATCAAACTATACCTTTTATTTGTTGTCAATGTGTGGTCTCTAGCGGTGAAACATATTGCCTTAAAATATACAGAATTTGTAATTCAAACATAGGAATTTCAGAATTGATGTCAAAAAATAGTCAATTTGACTATGTTCCATATCATATAGTAGGGGTCTTCAAACTTTGGGACAAAAAGAGTCGTTTTGGTCATTCTTCCCTCAAATAATATTTGCCCAGAGCCACACAACTTATTTGACCTTTAAATTAATATAACACAATTTGATGTTTACCGATGTAAGGAAATACGTTTATATATAACGGCAATATCACACTCGTAGCAGTGCGATATGGCTGTGTATCAGCACTAGTGGGACACTAAGGCATTCGGCCTATGACCTCGTGCCAACACACGTCCCCACCAGGGCTGACGTCAAAACATCAGAAGCTGTTACTTATTCACCTACATCACTTTAGAGCTAGTGTTTGAATGATTCTCTATGTCTAAAGTGATAACAAAGCAGCTGATTTTGTTCACTTTAAGATTATAAGGCTGACATGCCATCCATCTACAGAGATATCTTCTTATAGTTTTACAGTCTACAGTATTTCTCTGTTGCAATCGGGAATATCACAATAGTTAACCCCCCAAAAAGCAACGCAATCAATATCAGACTGTTGTGTTTGCGATAAGGAAAAACGCTAAACACATGCGGATATTGCTTTTTTCAGAAAAAGAAATCAAAACAGGATGTTTGCGGGAAACTGGTCTGAAATACGGGATACTCCCATGAAAAAAGTATGGAATTGTTGGCAGGTATTGCTTACCAGTTTAATCATAATTTCATCTGCAATAGTTAGAAATCAGAGTGTTATAAGCTTCTAAGCTTAAGAGCTTATTATGCGGTTCTGTCGCCATCTTGCGGAGAGAAAACTTCAACCGTCTTTGGTCTACACTATGGCCGTCGATGAGCCCTCTTATAAATTGTAAATATTTTAAAATAGGCAATATTTTTTGCAAATAAACTGCATAATTGCAATCTAAACAACTACATTCTCAACTAAAAAAAGCCTCAAAGTATATTTTGTTGTCTAACAACAGTAAAATTTGTCAAACTGTAGTGTCTCTGCTTGTTGCTGGCTGTATGTGGGCGGAGTAATACACAAAGGGTAAAGAGGCTGTACGGGTACTGATATTACTCAAATACAGTAGGTGAGAGTTCAAAGTGGCTATTGCTGCCGCGTCATATACCGCCGCAGTTTGAAATAGGTGCTGCTCTGTTTTTAGTGTATGACCGCAGTTTGTAAATGAGCCGCCAGGGGGCGCAAAGGGACGGGATGCGAACGGACAGAAATAGCCCATACAGCAGCTTTAAATATGCTACTGTGCTTGTAAATGAGATTAAACAATAAGTAAAAGCATTATAATTCCTTCAATAATCATTTAAATTTGTTAACACGCTTTATTGTAAACTTTTTAAGTGCAAAGAGGATTCGTTTTGGAGAATAGAATTGAAGAAGTAAAAGACAACTAAAATGAAAGCACAAACATTCATTACAAATAAGTAGTCTTAAATAAATACATAAATAAAGCAGCCTAAATATAGAAAAATGTTCAGTGTTTGCTATTTTGATAGGACTAAGACAAGACATTTTCATTTATGTTTTATTTCTGTTTTTATTTCCTTCAATAATCTAAACATTTGTTTAAAGATAGACCGCAAGATGTGCTGAGTGGCTACATGTGGTGAAGAACGATGGCAAAGCTAGGTGTGATTATTGTAATAAACTAATAAGTTATAAAGCAGAGTGTCCCGACCAACAGGACTAAGCATATGCAGTTGGCTCATTCTTCACGAATATAGAATTAAAATAATGGGGCGTTAGGGCGCTAAGCGGCGCATTCTCTCCGCCTTATCGTTTATAACCAGCGGGACACGCTGCTGAAGCAGGAGAGACACTCCGTCATTCATAATCTTAGCTGATGTATCGGAGTCGAAAGAATATATCAAAGAGGAATGTTCTTATAACATACCCGATAGGTGTAATCTTTTTTTTCGTGTCATTTCTCTTCAGCAAATTTAATTTTTTTTAAAGCTGCTTGATTCTTTTAAAACTGAAAGCAGAGCCCGTCAATTGGTGTTTTTCCATAAGATACTCCTTTATGAATGTTTTATTTTTTGATTAAAGTCTTTAATGTGCTTTTTAATAGTTTTATTTTATTTCAAGCAGCACCTAAATGCGAATTTATCCTCAAAACGTGGCATGAGAGCGATGCAAGTCATGTGTCGCATAATTGCCTTTTTTTCCTGTGCGTGTCATGTTTTTATTTCCGTTTTTATTTACATTTTCGTTGTTGATTATAGTTTACTATCTCATTTTATGTCTCAATAATTGTACATAATAATAAACGAATATTGAAAATAAATGAATAATGAAAATAGGCCTAAAAAAATTATTTATTTAAAGACATTGCCGCGAAGCACTGAGAAACGGCCAGGAGCATGGTCTAAAGAGCGTAAGTTGAATGCTGCTTCATCAAAAGCAAAAAAATAAATTAACCTACCTTAAGCAGATCACAAAGTATAATAAAAATATTTTTGCCGCAGGACATAAATTAAATCTCGCAGGTTTATTTTTAATAATTTAGTTTCAGTTCAGTTTTTTTGTTTCAAAACGTCAGTATTCTCCTTTAAAGTAGCTATAACTGTTGTTTTGTTTAGTTTTTTTTTTTACTTAATGGCTCAGTATGTTTTGTATTTGAATTTCAATTTCAGTCACCTTGCACATGCGTGTGAAATGTAATGCGCGCATAACCGCTGAAAAAGAAGAATAAGCTGTTAGTTAGAGCTAATTCATCAAAATAAGCTATATTAAAATACAGCATGTATGTTAATACAGTCAGAATGTGAACAAACTCAAGGTACGGCTAAGATATGCGCTTGCTTTTTTTACAAATTTTTTCATTCGCTACTCTGCCAGGAACTTTGCCGCTAGAGAGCATCGTCAACAATCTCAATCTTATGGCTCATTCTTCACGAATATATTATTAAAATAATGGCGCGTTAGGTTTATTGTGCATCCTGGTTGTGCATTTTAGTTTAACTTTTTAAGAGTTATAAGCAGTTCGGTGTTAGTTTTTATTTAAATATATCAAGCCGAAACTAAACAGTGCATTCTCTCCGCCTCCTCATTCATAACCAGACATGCTGCTGAAGCAAGCAGGAGAGATAGCCTACTCCGTCATTCATAATCTTAGCTGATGTATTCGAGTCGAAAGAATATATTATAGAGGAATGTTCTTTACTTATTATACTTTATTAGTCCCGATATATTTAATCTTTTTTTTACTTTTTTCCTGTCATTTCTCTTTATGAAATTATTTTTTTAAAGCTGCTTTATTATTTTAAAATCGAAAGCAGTGCCTGTCAATTGGTAATTTCCATAAGATACTCCTTTATGAATGTTTTATTTTATGAGTTAAGTCTTTAATGTGCTTTTTAATAGTTTTATTCTGTTCAAAGCAGCACCTAGATGCGAATTTATCCTCAAAACGTGGCATGAGAGCGATGCATGTCATGTGTTGCATAATTGCCTTTTTTCCTGTGCGTGCGCGATCAATTTCTGATCCTTTTGCATAAAGGTTTTAATCAAATGACAGGTCATTTAATTACTTTCGATGTGCTAAAATATTTGTTAAACGAATGTTATTTAAAAAAAGCATATGCACATATTACAACTGTAAAACAGACTGCATGGTCTGATCAGAAATAAAGAAAATTAGTTATATATTTCATTATTTAATGCATAAAATGGGCTATTCTTTTTATAAATTGAGTTTAATTGATTTGAAACTTTTAATTGCATTTTTATGTCCTGTAAATAATAAAAGTTGCATCAGATAACAACAAATCTGAATACCTGCAAACAGGGCCACAGTTACTTTTTTTTCACTGACTGGCATGACTGGCAAACGCGTCAGAAAAAAAACTGCTGAATCTCTGCAAATATTTGGTTAACTTATAAAACAAATGTCTGGTTTAGTGATGTTAGTAATGCATAGAAAAATGCAAAGCAGAATTATTAAAGTTATTATTTCATTGACCTGAACATAACCATTTATAATATAATTACTAACCCGTCGTCCAAAATAATACAATAATAAAATAGCCTATTATTTTATTCGTGGCTAGAGCTTTATTAAATTGATTGACATTTTATATAAGCGATGTGCTTTTGTTTGTTTGTTCTCAGTGATCTTTAATATGTACTGGGTTGCACAAAATATCTTCTAAAATTTCAAGCAGTATTTGTCTATAGCTTTAATTAATTTAAAATATTAAAAATAACAATAATAAAATTATAAAAATACAAAGATAAAAAGAGCAGCATTTTGCTAATCATAAAAGCCCTTTATATTTATATCCATGTGTTGTTTCATATTCGTTTTATTTCACTTGATGCATTCGTTATTTAATGTTTGAATACTAAAAGAAATAACAGCCATCGTTTAAAAGGTTATTTTACCATCAAAATGTAGCCTGTTATATGTATCATTAAC